GGGGAAGCGATATGTCTGAGTGCATGTTTGTTGTGACTGCGACTTCTAAGAACCAAACTGTAAAATGATGTTAACCATGCATATAACTTATCTATTTATTGCTCTTTTACTCCCTGAATAGATGTTTTAAAATGTAAATGTGTATCTTTTAACGTTATGTTTCATGCTTTGTAAACTGTTTTTAATCCATTTTAAACTACGAGGACAGCATGTTACGGCTTCTCCGGAACGTAGCCAAGACAGCCACTGCAGAGGAGTATGCCAAACAGCTCCAGAACCTACAGTCAAGCGACTTGTGGAGGGAGAATGAAAACCAGTCATATGAAGTTGCACAAAAAAAAATTCAAGGCCGTATATGTATATTTCACAAACATCACTCCAAACTTTAAACATTGACGGCCATGCACTTCAAGTAGTCTCCTGTTGCCAAGCTGTTAGGAGCCATGGTGCAATTCGACCTCAAATGGACCACGTAAACCATATAACCAGTCAAAGCAGCAGACGTCTCTTCCTCATACGACAACTGAAAAGGTTCTCACTGTCTTGCCATCAACTTAATTGTTTTCATTGAGATTACAATTACATTCAACTGTTGAGTTTTACACACAACTGTTGAATTTTATAAGGTCATTTTTCATTGTGTAAAGAAACCAATAATTATTCATTTCAGGTTGGACACTTGTCTGATAGCAAAAAAATAGGACTCATTACTTTACTCCTTAAGCAGGACTCCAGGAGAAAAGACAAAGGCCCGCCTCATTCATTATAAATTGGCGACCGATAACGTTATTAAACTGTGATACGCGTATACTACTAGTATCTAAATGCATGGCCCTTCGCATTAAAAAAATGTCATCTCATTCATTTCTGTCTTTCCAGTTTTGTTTGGATGGGAGAGGCAATTGATGGGGTCGAAATAATTCATTTATAAAATGCAAGTCTCAAAGATAATGATAAGCTCTTACAGGTTTGAGGTGATGGGGGGAAACCATACAAGGCAGGCCCTGTAAGAGAAATTAACAGATCTAGAGGTCCTCCAATCAAAAGAGGTCCACATGAACGTTTACTGCAGCCTGACAGAAGACCTGGCCAAACGGATCGGTACCGACCACAACAAAGTTACCAACAACATGAACCTCTCAAAGGAGGTAAGTAACAGGTAAGTAATGGCGGTAATCTTGTAATCATAATATTTTCAAGGTATAGATGAACTGGGTAAAAAAAAGAACATACGTGCATTATACGTGGCTTCCCTTACCAGACGTGGACCGGGACATTGGTGTGTCCTGCTCCGTTGATTTCGTTGGATTTCTTTGCCGTTTTGAGTGTCGTGATTCGATATGGCTGCTAATCAGGGAAACGTCCCACCTTGGATGCATTGAAAATTGGAGAATTTGCATATCACTGTGTGGGCATGCAGCTAGATGGCCCCGTCTGTTAAGCCATAAAAGTTGCGTTTTGGGGTATTTTTTCAACATTTGTCTGATAGCAAAAAAATAGGACTCGTTACTTTACTCCACGGGAAAGGACAAAGGCATCTCATTCACTTCTTTTTCAGTTTTGTTTGGATGGGAGAGGTAATTGATTGGGTCGAAAAAATTTATTCATAACGTAGAAAATAAAGTTTTAGATTCAAAGTCAAAGTCAGAGTCCCATTTGCGTCTAGATTCCTGATGTATCGCCGCAATCTCTGGGCGAAGGTCTCTCTCCAGCTCTTCGTGGTCGACCGGACCGAAGAGTCGCCTGTCACGTTCCATTATCTCTCGATTCCCCCTCTCTCTCCGCAATTGGTGTCGGAGATGTCAGAAAAATACTTCAGATATTTCATGCACTGAGGCTACCGCTATGAACATGATCTCTATGATTTTCGTCAGTGATGTACATACTGTCCAGGTCTGCATGGTCGAAACATCATCAAAATACAATATCGGCATAATTTTAAACATCGTCAAAAACATCATCAAAACACATCGTTACATCATCAAAACGCCACGCCGGCAGTCCCTTGTTTTAACAGTCTCACTGACTCCGCTTCGCCGGTTACGCCACGCCGGCTACAGCTCCGCCTTGTTGGCTCCGCCTGCTGCTCTACCTGCTAGCTCCACCTCACCGGTTCCGTCCAAAAACCGGTTACAGTTCCGCCATGCAAGTTCCGCCATGCTGGCTCCGCCTCCTGGCTGTGTCGGGGTTTCCCGCTCGGCTGCTCAGGGCCGAAAGTCGAGGCTTGGGGGGGGGGCATCTCCAATACTCCAATCTCAGAGAAAATGTCGATATCCGACTCGGCTGCGTGCTCAAGCACGGCCGAATTGAGATTTGGGGTAGGGGTGTCCGTAACTTCGGCACTTTTCCAGTGGAATGCTGGGGGCATTTCTGCCCAGGACCGAGTCACGAATCCGTCCTCCCGCCTCAACAAAGTGTCTTCCAGTCAGGTCTGCTAAATCTCGACGTCCTTCGTTGTTTCTTCTCCCGTCGGGAAGGGGCTCGTTGGAGTTCCGCCGACGTACGTGTGTTTCTCAGTCACAATCATCAACAAATTATAACAACAACAAAAAAAAAACTTAAAGGAAACAGCTGCGCTGTAGTCACGTCATGGCTGCAGTGTCACAGTGGGGGGGAGGGCAGCACATGGCATCATGGCGACGTCTTCTTCTCCCGCTCATCATGCTGGAATTCCGGGGTGAGGGACAGGCATCCCACCGCTGCCACCAGTGTAACGAACCGTTCCTTGGCCCTGTCCCCCACCCCAGGGGTATCGAAATGAGACGAGACGCAGAGAGAGATGAGGCTCTAGCAAGTACTCTCCAAGCAGAGGTTGGTGGGGGAAGATCGTCACCGTTTTATATATTCCTCGTTTTTTTTTGTCGCCCCCCACCAACCTCTGCTTGGAGAGTAGGTGCACTGTCGTCCAACGCCTCGCCGTCCGATTCGCCCGTCGTTTCTTCAGGTTGGCCGGGTCGGGTCAGCGGTACCGGTGTTGTCGCTCGCCGTTAGTGCCGTACCGGTCGTGGCTGGCGGACTGGACGCTGACCGCATACATCTCTGGGTCTTCCCCTACGTAGTGGAGGATGTTTTTAGGACCTTCCTCATCGCCATAGTCCAGTCTGTACAGAAGGGATAAAACATTAATCAAACAAAAATTGACACGGAGCGGAGACAATCCAATTCATATGAATAAAATCAACAATGTAAAGGAAAAAAAAAAATTAAAAAATCGTGGTTTAATAGCTTCCAGATATCCTTTGGTCGCTTCTCACCCAGGGAATGTCCTCTGGCCAGTACACGGGGCGGGTCGCGGGGTCCCCCAACTTGGGTTGGGAGCTGCCGGGATTCAACGCCCTGACCCAAGCTGAAACTGTTGACCTCACATCGTCGTATTTCAGCTTGTCGATTGGTACTGGCGGTTCTTTTCGAGCTCTCCGTTCTTGATTTTGACGAACAACGAAGTGTCTTCTTCAGTGGTGGCCTTCCGTTTCCTGTCTCTTCTTTTCTTTGATGGGGTGTTAAAAGATGTGTTTAAAGAAAAGTGTGTCAATTCCTTCATTTTATGTTGAATTCATGGTCAACATAAATAGTAATAAGGGAATCTTCCGCAACAAGAAAACAAGCAGTTTATCAGTTTTCTTTAAAGATGTCGAATAGTTTGAAATATTACCTTTGGAAGTCTGCATTGAACCAGCATGCTTCACCACAATCTAGGGCTTGCGCCTGTAGCGCGTCAGCCTGTTCATACTCACCAGCTTGGCCTGGAGGCTGACATACCGAGACTCCTCATGTAGAAGTTCCACCAGCAGGTAGAAGGGCAGACTGTGCTGCGCCTCCTTGTTCAGGCGAGTATGATACCCTTCGGTATCATTGTTGGTGCACACAGGCTGAAAGTACACTGACCACTCCTCCACGCTCCACACGCTGTTGGTCAACCACTCCTGCTCCATGTAGGCTGTCAGTTCGGCGATCGAGGGGTTGTCAGTCAGCTCTCGTAGCTCCTCGAAGGCACGCGGGATGTGCTCCGCCAGCAAGAAGTACCATGGGCTTCCTCGTCAGCTCGTACGCTCCCGCCTTCTCGTAATAGGCCGGCTGAGTCATAAAATACGAAGAGTTGTCATTCAAATTACATATGTTCATAAATTAAAAACAAAAAAAGTGTACTTAATTTTGACATTCAAAATACAAAACATTAAACATGTCATGTACATATTGATCCTCTGGATCTTGCGATACATGGCCTGTGCCTGTGTTAGATGAAATGCACAGCCCTTCCTGCTGCACGTAGCTCTCACCGCCCCCTACCCCCACCCCGCCCTCGAAGTCCATAACAAAGTTCTCAAGCCGAGAATCCCCGGATAGCAGATCCTTGATTGCCCGGAACACCTATAACGACAAAACGAATCGCATCCATCAATCCACAAAATTAAGCATTTGTTTTGAGGCAAATCGTAAAAAAATCCATGAAAATAAGCATTTGTTTTGAAGTAAATCCTACACTACTTCTGTGTAGTGAGCAGTCAGCTGTTGGTCATTGGTCTGTGTAGATACTGTTGGCTGTTGGGTGGCATTATCTGTTGGGGATTCTCACTACCCTGCGTTGACGAAGTTGCATCCTGCACCTGGGGGTTGGGAGAAGAGTGGGTTGTAGCACACAGTTTGTTCTAAAATTTATAGATCATGAGGTCTTTCTAACAGAGAAGACATATTTTGTAATACAAAATGTACTTTATTGTACACAGTTGTGAAGTAAATCTGACTTCTTGTTTCATTCTACGGTCTTTCCCTCCTGGTATCTGCTTGATTTTCATCAGACTGTATCTATTACCAAACAATCACTTGAACCAGTCAACACATGGGTACCTTGCATCTTAACCTTTTGTGAAATATTGGGTGCTAGAATACTATAACTTACAATGAAATGGTTTATAAGAACTGAGGGGAAAAAGATGCAAAAGAATGACCAGTGGATCTAATGTCAATGAGGCTCTACAGAAAAACCAGCACATTCTGAAGAACCATAGAACATAAAAAATATGGTGTAAGACCATAAGTGCACTACTAGTTGAAATCCACTGAAAGATATAGTTGGAAACCATTGACTATTTCGTGAGGAAATTAAGATATGCTACAAGTATAAATGGCAGGCTATCATGTAAAGGACACATAAACAGAGCCCTATACATGTATAACATGCATTTGGTTAGCAAACATACCATATTTCTCATTCAGTGTTACTCTGACCTCTGCTTGTAGATCACTTAGATGTTTCTTACTGCTGGCAGTAGCAGTATTTCCATCTGTAAGCAAAAACGAAATTATTAGTCATTTGTTCAACCTACATGACCATGTATATTTCATAGAGAAAGCAACTTTTTTTATTCGCATGCTCAAATCAGTTTTGGGGTTCCCAGAGGATGTCATCCATATAATCAAATCAACATGGCCTTACATTAGCAAAGGAAACTTGATGACTAACATACCATTCATGGCTGTAAGGAACTCGAAGTGCATTTTGCCTGCCCTGTCTGTGAGGTACTGTCTGCCTCTTGGGGTACCAGCAAACTGCACTCCTCCTGGAGAGGGAGTTGGGCAGTACAACATCACAGCCATCTCCAGGCCGCAGTTCTTGAAGTCTTCTGACTGAAATGAAATATAGTCATTTTATTTTATTATAATTTTCACTAAACAACTAGAGTTCCACGATCTCATACCTTCGCCAAATGATGTTAGCTTTTATGATTAAGAAATTATATATTAATCCCCATAATTATGCAAATAGGATCCTCAATTGCATGAATTATGTGTTGATCATATTCTCCACCAAAAGACAGTCTTATCTTAACAAAGAATGCCATGATGACATTTTCTCATAAATTATGCAAATGAGGTCCTTATTTGAATAAGTTATGTTTAATTATGTTCACCTTAACTTAACTTTCAAACACCCCAAGTATAAAATTCCAGGCAGTTACCACTATGCAATTATAATATTTTCTCATTAATTATGCAAATTAAGTCTTCATTTGCATAATCGATATCTCCCTGTGTTTCTCTCATTCTTAATAACATATGTCACAAGCTTGAACTTCCTATTATGGAATGCAGCTGATAAATAGAATTTCCTCATTAATTATGCAAATTAAATCCATATTTGCATAATTGTAATATCATTATGTCAAGCATCACTCAAGCTACCTCCATACCAAAAATTACGATGATCCATCAATCGGTTCTTGAGTTATCCCCCTTTAAACATTTGTCCATTAAACCCCCCTGCAGTTCTAGAGCAAGCAACTAGGGGGCTCAAACTCATGTCACTTTATCCCAGGCACAAGAGCTATCTACCGTCTAAATTTCGTCACTCTAGCATGTCTGGATCATGAGATATCAAAACCGGAAGTTCTGCTGCAGTACCATGACAAGCCGCCAGGTGGCCCAAAATCTAATCATTTTGAGGTCTCATCAAGACCTACCCACCTACCAAGTATCAAGACAATCCATCAAGACCTTCTCAAGTTATCGTGTTGACAGACAGACAGACAGACACACACACACATACACGAACGCCCCTGAAAACATAACCTTCTTGGCGAAGGTAACTACCGAATTTGTGAATTGATAAGACAGCGTACAAAAAATGTATCAGGATTATGGATGAAACGCACTTTGATGAATAGCTATCGTCTTGAGTAGTTGTGATTTGGATCAGTCTACATTTTGCTTTTGACAGCTGCCAAGTTTCGGAACAATCATTATACATTTTTTACTAACCAGGCTGTGTAGTCGCTTCACCAGATGATTGCTGTGTGCCAGCTTTTCCTCTTCTGTTAGGTCCTCTATTTTGACTGCTTTGACCTGGTCTGCCTGCTCTTGATACCTCTTCTTTGCATCCTCATCCATTACTTTCCACTGAGTGTGTATCCGTTGTAGCTTTTCCTTGTTGGTGGCTTCAGTGGCAGGACCTATAGTGGTTCAAGACAAGTAAATATTTCAGTGATGATGCCATTGAACAATGATTTGCAACTTGTCATTATGATTTGACTACATGCCTGCAGCTGTTGCATTATATATAGCTATAACATACTGTATATGATTCTTCCTCTTCTTAAGTCAATGTGAAGGAAATCTTCGGGTGACCTTGTTTTTCATTGAAATTCCAATTTTGTTTTGTCTGCCATAATGACATAAAAATCTGAGGAGTACAAGTGATTTGCCAATTTCCCAAGTACCCAGTTTAGTCATCTTAAGTGAGACAAAGTAGATATTTTCAGTTTGTATACTCAAGACTCTGACAGTTTAGTCACTAAAAATTGTTATTAGTGCATGATATAGCTGCAGGCTGCAGTGCTGTCAGTGGACTGATGATGACAACGAATGGTTCGGGGGAGTTGATGCACGACGGTATGGCCTGAAAGAAGAATGTTTTGCCGGCCCCCGTCGGCAGTCCAACGAAGACGTCGTGCCCATCCAAAATCCCCAACACGGCGTCCTCCTGACCCTGCCGCAAAGTTTCATAACCAACTAGAGTTCCCCGATCTCATACCTTCGCCAAATGACTGACAAATTATAGATTAGATTATTCCCCCCTGATTTAAGAAATAGGAACCTAATTTTCATGAATTATATCATTTTATCATAATCTCAACCAAAAGACAGTCTTATATAAACAAACAAGGCATTCTAGTATTTCCTAATAAATTATGCAAATGAGGTCCTGATTTGAATAAATTATGTTTAATGATGTT